GACTGATAGGGCTGGACAGCGGTTACTCTGATAAAAAAAACCTTATACAAACAGGTGTTATTCGTGGTCTCATCAAGACAGTTGTTGTGTGTGTCCGCGCTTTGAATTGTGGGACCCGGAGCATTCCTTTGTCGCCTGCAGCCAATCAGGGAAGGCGTGCACACTGACTGGTTTCGAGCTTTCGCGAGGCTACGGCCAAGACTCGCGCGGCGGCGGCGGCGACCCGACCGTGAGCCTGAAGCAGACAGTATGGGCAGCTTTGAAAAAGAGTGCACAATGTCGATTATCACGCACGTTTACGCAGGTCGGGCCGGCGAATAAAATATAAATCAATGGTAATGACGCTGATCGTCGACTGTCACAGAACCCCCAGGTAAGACTGAAGCCGACGTGTATCGACGCTGTGGTATTGGTTTTTGTCCAGATTAAATGGCTAAACAAACCACCAGGGAAATAAACAATGCATTCTACGGATAATATATACAGGAGTCATAGAGGAAGAGGGTTTTTGTCTTTTGACTGACATGTTGAAGGTTGATGCAGAAAAATTACAAAGTGATTGTAGCGAACATTGTGGAAGAAGTAGCAGCCGAAATGGTGGGCGAGAGTGTCAGGAAGCAGGGGAAGTGGGTCCACAGGCCTCGGCGGCTGAATGTGCAGGACAGCAGTTTTCAGACGGTCAATGCTTTCCACCTCCTTGCAGGTTTCGCCATGGACGCGGAACATATTCTTATCTCGAGAGACAACGTAGTATGGGCCGTCGTAGGGGTATTCCAAGGTCCTGCGCACTGGATCACATTAAAAATAGACATGAGAGCAGGTTGAAACGCCTTTTTCAATATAAGACTTAGATATGGATGGCATGAGTGGAACCGAGGAGAGCCTTAGGGTAAAGTGCCGAAGACGGTGCTGGTTGTTGGTAGGATCCTTGACTGCACTTAGAAGGATTACAGTCAAGGTCCGACTTGCGGGAAGGCTGGCCGCCCAACAGTATCAGGGGAGATGGTTTGTCCAGTCCTTTCAATGGACCGCGGTACGTAGTGAGGTCTCCAGCTGGCGGGGAAATCGCTCGAGCATTTAGTTGGCAACCGGTGATAGGGTGTAGTGCGGATGCCAGTACAGTCTAAAAAGACAAAGTTAGACCAGAAAAGATTAAAATCAAACGGGGCACCGCAGTCAATCGTTGCTTGAGAGGGAGCTCCAAAGGTGGCAAATCAACAAACGGGAACGTCCTAGGCACTGCTCAAATGCTGGCATGGGACATGGGGATAGTTTCAGGCCACCGATCGAACCAATCAACAGAGGTGAGAAGATAAGAATAGTCGTTGGACAGAGGCAGGAGACCCACAAGGTCGACGTGAACATTACTGAACCTTGCGTCGGAGCTGAGGAAGGAGTCGATGGGGAAATAGGTTGGACCGTTGGACCTTACTCGATCGACAATCGAGACACGTCCGTGTCCGTGCTTTCGGGATGGTACCGTTGCCAGAAGCCAACGGAAAGTCCTGGAATTAGAGTCCGGAAGCATCCTCGACACATGTTGAACCAAAACGGCTTTTTTTGGCGGCCATGACAGCGAATTCGATGTCGGGGATGGGTTGTAAATGAGCAACTGGGGGTCTAGATAGTGTGTCAGACATCCTGTTTCGTGACCTATCGGTGTCGCGGATATGTGAGGCGGACTGAGAGATATATCTCATTTTGCGTATCTCCTGGGAGTTCGACATATCGGCATTCCGTTTAAGAGCGAAGCAATGTGGTTTTTGGTCAGAGAAAAGAGTGAAGTTTCCGTCCTCAAGGAAAGGCCGGACGAAAATCATGATGAGGTAGACAATAATAATCTGCCATCTAAATTTGCTGTAGTGCGACTCAGCGGGTTTCAGCTTTCTGAAGAAATAATCTAAGGGTTTTATCTGACTTCCAAGGCGATGCTGGAGATCCGCGCCCACTGCAACATTAGAGGCGTCAACCATGGGGGAGGTGGGATCATTAAGGCATCGTTATAAGGATGGCATCGGCCAGGGTAGCTGTGACCATGTCGAAAGCAACGGGGGCGTCTGCAGATCGCTCGAAGAACCACTTGGGACCCGAGCGGAAGTTTCTGAGCGACAGAATGGTGTGGACAGAGAAATCGTCTGCGATAACGCTCGAAATAAGGTGTGGCAAAATCTTTCGAGGGGAGAGGATAAATGCCATTGGTTTCCTCAGATGTTCAACGAACTCAAAGGAGGGAACGCCGAAGACGCATTTGGACGGCTTGAGGACAATGCCAAATTGTTGGAAGTGGTCAAACGCCTTTGCGAGATACTCCCTTTAGTCGGCGGTGGTGGAACTGGTAATGGAAACTTTATCAGTGTAGACATAGACCAGAGTAGACCGCGAAGCACTCT